GGGTGGATTTAGGACGATTAGTGTTACCTATAGTCTCCATTGTAGTTCCTTTTTGGGGTTACCTTATAGGATCCTAATTATAAAATTGGTTAAACCAAAGAAAGGAACTACAATGGAGACTATAGGTAGGATCCCTTTTTGGGTCCCCAATATCGTACGGCACCCTTATTCACAGGACCCCAAAAGGGAGTAGAGAACTACCCATTTAGGCCTTGGTTCCCTCCTAGCTAGCAAGGACTCCAGGGTTCGGGACTTGGGGTTTTGGGTTTGAGGTTTGGGGGTCTTGGTGATTCTGTCTGGCCGGATAGGGAAGTTTTCGGAGGTATGGGTCCGAGATGGAGCAGAGCTTTCAAAACCGGGGTCAACCTTGCGCAACAACCACCTTGCTGCGACTCTTCCAGCCTTCGCTGAGGTATGCAGCAAAGTTGATGCGCACTTTCGCAGCTTCCTTGAAGGGGAGAGCTGGGTCACCGCGAATAAAGCTGCAGGGTTTCGGGCTGACAGCAACACTGAGAGCAGCAACTACCAAACAGCAGCCATCAAGGTTATCATAATCACCCTCTTGGTGTACCAAGAAGCCAGTTCAAAAAGCTTGTGGACCACCGGGCGATGTTTGCGGATCCCCATTCCAAGCTTGTCCCAAGTCTTCACCCCCTCCGCACGAGTGCAAGGATGCCTTCATTATGGGGTCTTCTCATTTTGACCTCTCTGCCGACAGCCGTTAGAAACCCCTATCAAAAGCCTACGAGTACCCTGTTCACGTAAAGCTCTAGTAAACTCTATTCTGATTCTTCAGACCCCTATACAGAACTCATAAAACTTTACAGACAGCCTGGAAAACAAGAAACCCAAAGCCCTAAACCCTAAGCCCTCAAACCCCAAACGCTAACCTTTTAGAAACCCTATAAAGCCCTAAGCCCTAAATGCCCTAAATCCTGCAGAAACCCTTAAACCCTAAACCCTAAAAAGCCCTAAGCCCACTCGGGCAGCGACCAGGCACAGCGCCGGGTGAGCCATCTCTCGGCGTTCGACGATGGCCAGGGCTCGCTCCATCATCCTGCGTTTAGCGTTTAGGGTTCAGGGGTTTAGGGGTTTAGGGTTTAGGGTTTAGGGTTTAGGGTTTAGGGGTTTAGGGTGTTAGGGTTTAGGGTTTAGGGGTTTAGGGTTTTCGGGTTCAGGGCTTTAGGGTTTTAGGGTTTAGGGCTTTGGGTTTAGGGGTTTAGGGTTTTGGGGTTGAGGAGGTTTTGTGGTATAGGGTTTTAGTGCAAGTGTGGTTTCTGGTTTTATGGTTAGGGTTTATGGTTTAGGTCTGTAGCCCTGCGATATGCATGACATCTAGGACTGTACCAGGAATTCCAAACGCTCAAGGTCCTAAGGTCATTGTCCACCATCCTGTATCTTGGCATTTGGCAGGGGATTGGGGGGGGGGGGGGGGGTGCCCGGCCCGCTCTACATCATCCTATTCGCTGCAGGCTGGTTGTTTGGCCTAGGTGCAGATGTGCCTATCTTTTCTGAACCTATGGGCGCGTGGTCTTGCAGACTTTCTGCTGGAAGCCTTGCAGTGCAAGAGCTTTCGCCCGACGGAAGATGAACATTTTTTTTGGTTTTAAGCGCCTCTTTTCCCATCCGCCAGGATTGAAGATGAACATTCAGGGCTTAGATGTGCCGAATTAGGGTACAACTGCCTTGCAGTACGGCCGAACATTTCAAGACTCTGAGCCTCGTCGAAAGAGAACCACGTTGACACTGCCAGCATGTCTGGTTCTTGCTAATGTAGGGGCCTCAATAATTAGAATAGGGATTGAACCTCCAAAATAATATAGGTAATTGTTTAGGCTTCTACTGTACTCTGAGTTCTGAAATCCGCTCTGGAAGAATCAACCTGCAAACTCCAGACGCCACTACTTCCAAACATTCCGGCTACTGTAAGGACTACCATAAAAAAGGGGTACTGTAAGGCGGTACTAAAAGGGTCCCTGACTTTCTGGTTACGACCCAAGGACCCTTTCCCACTCGACCTGAACCCGAGTTAGATACACGAAAAGCAGAACCTAAGTCAGCAAGATGCCTCAATTCCGAAGAACCCTGAACCCTGCCCCGAGACTACTTGGATGCCCAGGGGACCTAGTAAGTAGGTTGTAAATAGAGTTCTAAGTACCCTAACTGGGGTTACCCCAATTATAACCCTACTTATAACCGACTTTCTAAGCCCCTGGGCCTCCAAGTACACCCTAAACCCTAAACCCTACTTACTTACTAAGTCACCATGAACCTCCAAGTAAGCCCTAAAATCCTAAAGCCCTAAACTCTAAACCCTAAACCCCAAACCCTAAACCCTAAACCTTACTTTTTAAGTCACCATGAACCTCCAAGTATAGCATGACCTCAACCCCAAGAGCCGGAGTCTGATGCTCAACACCTCCCCCGTCACCTCTCGAAGAAGACTGGCAAACTAAACATTCCAAACACACCGCGAAAACACAAAAGGCTGTAGGGTTTAGGGTTTAGGGTTTATGGCTGGCATTCATGGATTCCGTACCTTTGACTTAAATAACTGCAAGCTACACTTACAGCCACGTTAGAATCCCCTAGGTTGACTCCCTTAAAGCCTCTTAGACGGAATCGTTGTTTGGATCCTCGCAAGCGCAAGAAGGGAACATGCAACATACCCTGAACCACTAGGCCCCGGTAATATAGGGGCCTAAACAATTACCAATACTATTTTTTCTTTTTTTGGGGGGGCCTCCTTGTTATAACTATTGAACAATATACCCCCAAACCCTATTCTAATTTATTAAGGCCCTATATTACCCTTGTTGTAGCTCAAGAAGAACCCTAAACCCTAAACCCTAAACCCCAGCCTTAAACCCTAAACCCCAAACCCCAAACCCTAAACCCCACCCTTAAACCCTAAACCCCAAACCCAAACCCTAAACCCTAAACCCCAAACCCTAAACCCTAATTAAACGCAAAACAAAGCTGGAGGTGGCCTGATACCTCGGCCAAGGAGGCCCTTCTCGCGCAAGGTCCGGGCCATGGACGTGTATCTGAGCGTGTGGGGGTTTAGGGTTTAGGGTTTAGGGTGGGATCTACTGCGTAACGTGGGGGCCTTAATAATCAGAATAGGGTTTTGGGGCCCAATGTTAGGGCTTAGGGTTTAGGGTAGGGGCCTTAATGATCAGAATAGGGCTTTGGGGCCGAGTATACTATACTTATAAAAAGGGACCCACCCAACAAATAGTATAGGTAATTGTTTAAGGCCCTATAAGAAGGCTTTAGGCTTCAGGGTGGGTTTTCGACTCGCCCACTCGCACTGGGCAGGCACAACCTATAAACTTGCCAGAGGAGGTGCCCAGAGAGCCCAATATCCCTTAATTAAGGAAGATACCTTAAATTATACTATGTTTTAAGGTATATTCCTTGATTAAGGGGCATTGGGCTCTCTGGGTGCTGCTGTTCGTATAGTTTATAGGGCTTCAGGTCTGGACTAGTCGCGGGAGGGGTGGGGCTGAAGTTGTCGGGTTTGGGCATTAACTCCTGAACCTCCCTCTGTAGGACCGCAAAACAAACCGTATACTGAATTTACAAGGACTCTACCAAGAAGAGGTTCTGGTGGGTAGGTCAAGCTAGGGTGTGTAGCTGCGTGCTTGTATCTTGGACTCATGTATGCCCTTCGCAAAATGAAGCACCCCATAAGAACCTTTAATAAACCCTAAACCCCTAAACCATAAACCGTATGTAAGTAGTATGACCCAGATATGGAGAGAGGCGGGTCTTGTTGGAAGTGCGTGGTGTAAGACTTAATATAGGGGCCTAAACAAGTAGGCGGGCGTGGGATTCAAGACGCCACCACTTTTCCCTCTAAGTGTCTATAAAGTCCTGATTTTCTTGTGTGTCCCACCTTACTGGGAATCCTTACAGACTCCACACAGGTTCTGCTCCGCGAAAGCCTTCGAAATCACCTATTAGCTCGGCTCCTAAATACGGCCGAATATTTCAGACGCCCATGGGCGGTTGGCACCTTTCTCCGACAGAACCCAACGCACCGAGGCCGGGCGCGGGGCCTGCTGTACAGATTTCAGCCTAACCAACTGATCTTTGGTAAACACCCGATTCCGGAAACAAATCGCCCTCAAACACCAGAAACCTCTGTGCTTTTTTAAAATTAAGACCAAGGTAAGTCTTAAATCCCGCGCCCGGCAACAATTACCTATACTGTTTTGGGTGTTTCCTTATGATAATTCTAGTACAATAAGCCCCGACACCCTGTTCTAACGATTAAGGCCCTTACATTCATTACAACAAGCTCCCAAAAGATTAAAAATGGTTAGAGTGTGGAAGAAGGGTGACGAGCGCCACAGTGTTTATACCTCGACTGCACCCCTAAACCCTAAATGCTAAAACCCTAAACCCCAAAACCCTAAACCGCTAAACCCTAAACGCTAAAACCCTAAACCCCTAAACCCCTAAACCCTAAACCCCTAAAGCACTAAACCCTAAGCCCTAGGCTAGGGCTCTGGAGTTTCGGAAGCCTCTTGGGACAGGGCTCAAGCTGTTGAGGTTTTCGTTTGGGGAGTCTTCGAAACCATTTGCTTCTGACAACTTGTGACTTTTATTCTTAGCCTGGTGCCAGGAGTTGCATCTTTGTGCGCACCTGGGGGACGGAAGCGATGTCCTTTATGTTCGTGGATAAAGAGCCTTCCCCCCTCCAACCAAAAAAAACTCTCAAGTGTAGACCAAACGCTGCACGGCCGTTTCGAGGCTGTCCTGCTCAAGGCGTGTTGTCACAGGACAAAAATGTCTGCTTCTCGGAAGTGTGGCACACATGGGAGTTCGGTCTGCGAAACTGTTATAGCTAGTTTACCCTGACTTTGTGCAACTCAGCATTTGGGATTTGCGTCTGGAGACCAACTCAGTAAACGCTTTGATCCCCTGCACTAAACCGTTTGCAGCCCGTCCAAGACATCTTCCGATGCCACCGAGAGATGTGTCCAGCCGATCTCTTTTGGCCTGGGTTTGAGGTCGCAAAATTTGCATAGAGAGTGACCCCGAACAGGGTGCAGGACCAAGGAACAGCTTCAAGCACTGAAAAACCCACACTCCAAAGCAACACCATGTAAGCCATCGTGTTTGCGAGTCAGGACTAAACAAACTTGGCTCCGATTTCCCAACGGAAGTAAAAACTAGCTGCCGTCGCGCGTCGGAGCACTTACATGACAAAGCACACAGGGTCAAGTGTCGGAATGTTTCTTGCCTTGAAACGAGGCCAAAGTAGAATCGAAGGTTTTTAACAACGCCCCAATGTACAAGGGTTGGTTCGGCATTGAAGCCTTTGACATGGTTTGTCCCTGGCGCTGAATAAGCAACTCTACATCGACGTCGAACGAAGATTTGTATTGTGCCATCACACAGCAACTCGAAATGCCAAACATGCCTGGATACCACAGAAAACTTTCAACATATGTTTTGCGGCACAGTACACAGAAAGCAGAACCGCACGCAGTTTGCAGCGAATCAGGACCCCATCGCCTTCCACCATACCTTCATGGTCCTACAGGATTGGAACAATGCTTCCGGAAGAATTGAATTAGAACTACAGGAATTGTACGGGGATACTATTACTGAGTATTCAGGCCCCCGGATTTGATTGAAGAAGTTGCCAAACATCAGCAAGCTCGGCACCACGACGATGAATAAGTTTTCGGGGGCGAGGAAGCAAACTATGCCCGACAAACTCAACACTCTAGCTCAGGCATGCTGAGCAACAGTTCCGAACTCAATGGCTAAGGAAACGTTTCTCCTGGCTGCAAACTCCTTGCAAACCCTAAACCTAAACCCTAAACCCTAAGGGTCCTGGACCCGATAACATCTGCAGCTGTGCCACTTCTTCGGTTCGGGGGGCTCGTCCTCCGGGCTCCGATAGAAAGTCCGTTCCATCTCGGACTCCTCTGCCAAGGCGCTGAAATCCCCAGGGTTTAGGGATTAGGGGTTTAGGGTTTAGGGTTTAGGATTGTGCCCTAAATGCCTCCCTACAGTTCCGCAATCTACGTGCTTGGCATCCAGTAAAGAGGTCTAGCAATACCTCCTTGCATTTTCTTTCCAAGTTCCTCCATTCAAATCCCTTACTTACGCTCAGGGCCTAGTAACCATAGTAACCCTTTATTGGGACAGCTCTGGGGCCGGAACATTTAACGAAGCATCGTTTCGAAGCAGAGTACTGAAAACAGCCCGGCAGTACGAAAGACGTACTGCAAAAGCCTGGACGGGTATTGGGCTTCGGGTCGACCCGTATCGTATACCATTTCCCGGAACCCAGGAACCAGGCCGTCGACCTGGAAAACGAGAAACTTCGAGAACCTCTGGTATAGACCTTGAACGGCAAAAAAGGTTCTTAGTCGAAAGATCGCGAGCAAGGGGGTGCCTTCATTCCGAAACCCCCTGGCATACTAAACCTTAAGCCCTAATGTAGGGGCATTCGTCATTAGAGTAGGGTTTTAGGGGTTCCTTATTATAGTTATAATATAACATACCCCAAACCCTATTCTAATTATTATGGCCCCTATATTAAACCTTTAGCCGGCCGCCTCAGTACTGGGCTCTGTGGTACGCGTGTCGCGGCTCGCCTCAGCAGTGACCCAGTCCTCGGAAGATTCTTCAGCATAGGGTTTTGGGGTTAGGGTTTCGGGTTTAAGGTTTTGGGGTCTTGGGGTTTAGGGCTTCGGGTTTAGGGCTTTGGGGTTTAGGGTCTAGGGTTTAGAAGGTTGCATCTGCTTGTGCTACTGTTACTTTCACCTGATGAGTAGTACTGATGTCAAAAACATAAAATACAAGCACGACGACGACTACTGCCACTAGTGCTACTTTCTATGGCTTCACTGCTGCTGCTGCTGCTGCTCCTCGCAAGACCAGCTGCAGTGCCCAAATGAATCCTGAGCCAAACTCGTTTTGAATCCTCGAACCCATCTAGAACTTCCATCGAACTCTGAAGTAAAGGAGTGTGAAGCGTGTAGTAGACCAGAACCTTAAAATCCGAACCCAAACCCCCAGCCCCTAAACCCCTAAACCCTTAAACCTCTAGACCCTGAACCCCTATGCCCCCAAACCCGTAAGCCCCTAAACCCCTTAAACCCCTTAAACCCCTAAACCCCTAAACCCCAAATCCCTAAACCTCTCAACCTTGGAGGGGTTCGTAGCTTGCAGGGGACGGCAAAGGCGTCGGATCTTCCTGCCGCTTGCAGGGGTCTGTTAATGGTTTAGGGTTTAGGGGTTTAGGGTTTAGGGGGGTCTGTTGCTGTAGGGCCTTTAATAATTAGCAAAGGGTCTTGGCGCCCAGTATACCATAATTATAACAAGGTCTGTTACGGCTTTGGACCTCTGTGTTAATGTAGGGGCCTTATAATAATTAGAATACGGTTTGGGGGGTTCAGCATTACTATTATGGTATATTAGATCCCAACCCTATTCTAATGATTAACGCTCCTAGATTACGGCTTTGGGGTTTCGGGAGCTTCGGAGGTTTTGGGGTCTAGGGTTTCGGGAACGTACGAATTTAGGGCGTAAGGTTTAGAGTTTAGTTCCGGGAACTTAGGAGTTTAGGGTATAGGGGTAAAGGTTGTTACGATTTGACGACTGCCACACATTCTGCGAAGAAGTCTACCAGAGTCTACCGAACGTCCCGGGCATCGGATACCCTGAGCTTAGAAGGATTTGGACCTGAAGCCCTAATGTAGGGTCCTTAATAACTAGAATAGCGTTTTGGGGTATAAAATACCATGTTTGTAGTAAGGAGCCCCATCCAAACTAGTATTATGAAGGCCCCCATATTACGAAAGAGCCCCGCACTTCCAAGCCTTCCCTGAGACCCCACACCGCCGAACATGCATATACTACCAGGCTTGAAGTTCCAGTCCTTGAAGGGGTACCCGGTGCGTTTTAAAGCCCTAGAGCAACCTATGATGATTATGCGGTCTAGGGTTTAGGGTCCCCATGGGTCCCCAATTTGCCCAGATCCTTGAGGCGACGAGCCCCTATGGGCCCCTAGTAGGATTTAGGGTTTAGGGCTTAGGGGTTTAGGGTTTAGGGTTTATGGGTTTAGGATTTAGGGTTTAGGGCCCCTCACATCCTCCACGATGCTCGCAGAGGCATCGAACGATGCTTCCGCTGTAGCCGGTGCAGGCGTTGTCTCCTCACCAGGGTAGGGCATACTGTTGATGATATACATCCTGCGCTACCCATAATAAGGAATATATGCCATAATTCCGATAGCTTAGGGTCCTTAAGGTCATGCAGGATTTATATCACCAACAGTATTTGCATAGGGACTATAACGGAATATCACTAATGTAGGAATCTGCGTAAGAAACCCTGGCCCTACAACCCCAAATTAGTAGGAGCCACAATATAGAGAACCCTAATACAGACCCGAAGCTTCTCAATCAAGCCCCTGCATTAGTAGGGATATCTCTGTTGATTCAGCCCAGTAGAAATAGGCGAAAGTCACATCCATGTGGGTGGTTGTCAAAATTATGTTCCTTTTTGAGACCTTATTATAATACAGCACCTATTATTTAGGGTACCCCAGAAGGGACCATAATTTTGACAACTGCCCATGTCATTCAGAATGAAGTCTGCGCTTTTTCCGGGCATCAACTGGCGCTACAGAACTCGCAAGAAAGAGTTTAGTACTTGGAACCCTGCGCAGAAGGGTTTGGGCTTTTTTCCCTCTCGCATGGCAGAGGTTTGGGGGTTAGGGTTGAGGGTGCAGAGGGGACAAACCTTCTAGAGCGCACTTTGGAGAAAGCATACGCGAAGTGGGTTTACAAGCACCTCCGCTCGGTCACTTATCATGCTAGCATTCACTCTGAAATCTGAAACGTGGCCATGTCCCATTACTGGTTTTAGGGCTCAGGGCTCAGGGTCTAGGGTTCAGGGCCCCTGACACCGAAGCCCTATAAACCTCCCACCCAATAGCCAAAGACTGAAAGCCTATAACATCCCAGACCACACCTTGACTTACAGAATCTGCTGGAGCTGGGTTCGTGATGCGCCGACTGGAGACACGGTTTGGGGTTCAGGCTTCAGGGCTTAAAGTTTAAGGGATGCAGTATTTGTCCTTTCGTTGGCGTGCTTATTGGTGCGCCCGCGACAGTCTCACGTGTTGGTCGAACAATGCCAGTAGCATCGCGAGGTAGTTCCTGAGCCAAGTTAGGCTCTAAGGTCTATGCTGCCTATAGCCATAAACCCCAAAAGCCCCAGATCCTAAACCCCAAGACCTTTTTGCCCTAAACCCTAAACCCCAAAAGCCACAGATCCTAAACCCAAGCCCTTTTGCAGCACGCTTCTAACACCCAAGCCCCAAACCCTTGAGCCTGAACCCTGAAACCCAGACTCCAAACCCTACCTTCAACTACCAAAAGCCACTTCTCTGTAGGGTCCCGATAAACATTCTATATTGGGGTCCACAATAAGAACCACCCTCAACCCTGTATCCTAAACTCAATGCCTTATAAGCCCGAAACCGTCACACCCAGCTCTTCCTCGTAGCTGCCCGTGTGTGAGGACGGCTGCGCTGTGTACTCTGTTGGACTCGGCTCCTTTCGATTGGTTTCCTCTCTGTGGGTAATTACCATAGACCTAGTATGGTTTCCAGCTACTATTAGTAGTCTTCATGATTATGGTTGCGGTTCAATTCGGTTGTGATCTAACTGGTCGTCGCTGTCGTCGTCGCCGTTTTGGGATCTTTATCACGCTGTGGCACGGGCACTCCTACGACTGTGCTGTTGCTGTGGCATTTTCTTTGATTATCCCGAAGGGTCCATGTATCCGAACAGTATATACTACGGCATTACTACCTAAATGGGGGCTATGTTAAGGCCAAAGTATATACTAATCGGGTACATGCACCTTTAGCCTACTAGGGACACAGAGACTGCTCACAATGCAGATCCAGACGTTTAGGTCAACGGGCCAGGGCTTCCGTCGTATCTAGGGCTACGGCGTCAGGTCTTGATTTCGGCATCCTACACAACTGACTTCAGCTAATGTCTTCATGAAGGCTCATGGCTACTGAGGCGTACGGTTAGTTGTGAGCACCTTCTCTTGTTTTTCGACAGCTATGTGCTACGTACCAAGTCGGTTCATATGAACACTTTGTCACAACTATTCAATTCGCCCGAAGCTGCTGTACAAACCCTTCAAGAGGTGCTGACGCTGTAGGCTGTAAAATACGGCACCCTCCTCTTGGGAGGGGCTCTTCAAATCATGTGCTTTGGCCGTCTCTCAAATGCTCGAGCATCACAAGTAGCGCAGGAGAAGGTTTAGGCTCCAGGGCTTCTAGGGTTTAGGGCACTATGGACTGTTCGGCTTAATCTGTTTGTGGGTTGTTGGGTTGAGGGCTTGAGGCTGTTTATGGGCTTTGGGGCTAACTATAAGTTAGGGTTTAGCGATTAGCTTTTGGCTAAAGTCAAAAACGGTTGAGAGGATGTGACTCTGGAAGCCGGGTGTGGCTGGATGTATGAACAAGTCAGTGTTTCGATATGAAGTCGCCGCATTTAGGATAAACACAGCCTAAAACCGAGACACTAAAACCCCGAATCGCCCTTTGTCGAACATGCCGGGCATTCGAGCCTAAACCCGATGTCCTTAAACATAACCCCTACACCCTATACTCCAAACATCTCCCTAACCCTAAACCCTAAACCCTAACCGAAGGAGCCGGTCCTCAAAGCTTGCGTAGGTCTGGAAAGAGGGCTGGCCAGTAATCGCTCCAGGGCTGCCCTCCTGGAGCTCTTTTGGGGGTTTTAGGATCTGGGCGCCTGGGGTTTAGGGTCTATGGGTTAGTTGAGAGAGCAAGCTTTTATGGGTTGAGGCTTCAGGTGTTCTTGCCTAACTTGCTATGCTTTCATGAGCAGTATACCTAGCAACCTGCCAGAACCTTCTTTCTTGTACTGTCCCTACTGTTTGGGGTAGATTCCGGTAGGTTATATTCTGGTAGTGGATGCTGGCAGGATTCTGAGCAAAAGAACGGAAGCCAAGAACGGGCCGCTCGTTCTTTCTGCCTCTGTGCCTCTACCATCATTTCGCTTTGAAGGCTGGCGTGCAAGACCCGCAGCAAAAATAGCAAAGGGCCATAATTTTTATCTGGATAGCACTCAAGTTTGCATGCATACCCTTCTACATGTAGTATGCACTGGGAGAAAACATAACCCCTCAAAACCCTGCCCTCCCGACTCCCCTAAACCCTAAACCCTAAACCCTGCCCCTGCCCCGAAGTGAGCCGCGATCCTCGTAGCTTGTGACCGACTGAAACGACGGATGCCCTGTAAACGCGCTTGGACTTGCCGGCTCCTGCCACGAGAACTTAGCTTTGGTTCTTATCTGCGTGGAACGGGGAAGGTACGATGTATCAACTGGCGATGATGGCTTTTGTGGCACACACAAAGCTGCGTGTACATCGACTCCGTTGAAGGATGGGGGGTTGTGGGGCTTGCTATCTGCACGAACCTCAGCTTAAAGCAGTCAAGGGTTCTAAGTCTTGAAAGCTTTGAGCTTTTCCGTAAGTATCTCTATGCACTGGGCTGAGGTCAACATGTGCACAGCAGGTCTAGCAGACGCCCCAGGAGCAGCAGCAGCAGCAGCAGCAGCAGCAGCAGCAGCAGCAGCAGCAGCAGCAGCAGCAGCAGCAGCAGCAGCAGCAGCAGCTGCAACAGCACGAGAACCAGCAAGTGCACCAGCGATAACAACAGTACATAGATCACGACTTCAACTAGCGTAATCATCATCATCAGCAGCAGCATCAGGATATTCCACATCATCGTCATCATCATTATCATCGTCGCTGCCTCTTTTCCATACAGTTGGACTGTTTCGGGCCTTAGGGAAGTCAGGAATTTAGAGGGTTGAAGCAGCAGGAGCAGCAGCAGCAGCAGCAGCAGCAGCAGCAGCTGCAGCTGCAGCTGCAGCTGCAACGGCACGAGAACCAGCAGGTGCACCAGCGAAAACAACAGTACAGAGATCGCGACTTCAACCGGCACAATCATCATCACCAGCAGCATCAGGATATTCCACATCATCATGTGCGGCTTCCCGAAAATCTGTTTTTGGTCAGGGGCAGTTATCCGTGGAATATGTGAACTAGGTTCCGCATTTACAAGAGATCCAATGCTAAAGCTTTAAGGCTCAGGGCTGTGGATTGTAAAGGGCCCGGAAAAATGAGTGACCTGTTTGCTTTGCAATCCTTCCTGTTGGCAGCAGCATTGAAGGCACGGTAAGGATCATAGGTTTATACGGTTAATTTTCCTACACATTTTGAGGCTTTTGGCAGAAACTCCTGCAACATGGCACTTTCTGGTGTGAGGGTCTGCAAAGCCAGCCTCACCCCGGCAAAGACCCCAAACCGCATCCGCGTCGAATGATTTCAAGTGTCAAGGGAAGATGCTTCATACCGGGCCACATGAATAATAGATTCAGGAATCTTCGGCCCTAAATTGCGCTTGACTGAGCCTCTGTCACTGGTGCCGCCTCTTCCGTGCTGGCCTGCGCCACCATTGCCTGAGGAGCATATCTGCACTAAACAGTCTGTTACGAGAAGCTGAGACTTAGGCTTCTTCTCATTGATGTAGCTCTTCGGTTGGACCACACCAGGCAAAACATCCTGGAACACAAACCAGCTTTCAGAACTCAATGTCATCCACAAAAGCATATCCAAGCCCCATGATTTTTGTTTGTTCGCGATTTTATGTCCTAAGGCCCCACTGCTTTCCGAGGAATCCTAAACCCTAAACCCTAAACCCTAAAACCCTAAAGCCCTAAACCCTAAACCGGACTTGACGACCTGGCCTCCTCCGCTGGTAGAGCTTCTGCTGTGCTGGCAGGTGCCACTGGCGCCTGCGGCTCGGAACCGAACACGGCTTAGAGTTTAGGGTTTAGGGTTTAGGGTTTTGGGGTTTAGGGTTTAGGGGTTTAGGGTTTAGGGTTAGGGGTTTAGGGGTTTAGGGTTGCAGACACATCCACACAAATATACAAAAAACCGTCCGACTACATGACCCAGTCAGATGTCTAGATGCAAAAACCTGTTTTAAAGGTTTCTGTGACAGTACAAAGCCACAAGACAACAACTTTGACGGCCATTCTACCAGATCCTCATACATCTATGTTATAGCAGCATATCCATACCGGCACCATCAAACACTTTGCCATACAGATATGTGGGACAGCAAGGGTCGCTTATTACCCAAAATCTCCCTGCAGTTGACCATGCCTCTTCTGCTGGTGCCGCCCCGTCCGTGCTGGCGCGGGCCACCGCAGCCTGCTGCATGGACACCAAATCCGGGAGTGCAGGATTTACGGGCTGAAGTGTTGAGTTGGTGACCACAAAATCCGACATGTGCCGAAGCCATGCCGTTCTCTAGGCGTGAGATAAAAACCTTGTGTAACATGTATACCTTAAGCATGTTTAACAAGCACTAGCGCATGGAGTTACAAACACATCTACATTCTCGGCTTCCATGGGACCGCTATATTGTGAAACCGCGAAGCTGACCTTCGCGGCTCGTGAACACGGACTCAAAACTCATCCCAGGCTCTCTGCGAATGGGCCCAAGGTTCCCGTTCTGCTTTCCGCAGGCCGCTGGGCTTAGGGATCGCGAAGAAATTGGGAGCATCCGCTCGAGGCGGAAAATTTGCAGGTGGGGATGAAATGGGGTGCGCAATTTGGATAGCGAGCTGAGTACTTGAGTGTCGGGTTTTCAAAACAAAATTGCCAGGTTCGACTTGTCAACACCAACAAAGGGAGGTGGCTTGATCTGTTAAGCCAAAACCCCCAAAGCCCTGAACACCCAAATCCCAATGCCTTGACCCTCCCCACGCACCTAATTTCTACTACGCTAACCTAGAATCTCTAAAGCTCGAACCCTGGAGGTTTGCACCCCAAGCACGTAAAGTCTAGACCCCTCAGCCCCTCAGCCTGAATCAAACCTCAAACCCTAGGTCTTAAATCCCCAAATGTTAATACTCTGCAAGCCTGCACGAAAACTACAAATTCAAAAACCCAAAACAAAAAAACAACGAGCAGCTACAACCATAATCCACCAACCACAACCCGAGTGCTCTGCCCCCGAAGCAGTCGCCGTCGTCGTCGACGTCGACGTAGGAGTAGTACTACTAGTAGTAGTTGTAGTAGTAGTAGTAGTAGTAGTAGCAGTAGTAGCAGTAGTAGGAGGAGGAG